AAACGCGGCACGCGAAATTCCTTTTCTCTTCGGCATAAGGGAGATATCGTAGTTTTCAAGGCGATTCGTTTTTGTCGCTTTTTTTTCGAACGTTTCTAGAAAAAAAACCGAGACGCGGAACCGAACAGATTTAGCTATGGCACGTATTTTTCGTTTAGCTATCGAACGAGACCGATCTCGAGTCGATATTTCGATAAACGGCGAACGCGAAAGTGTGAAATAACGCCGCGTACCGTCCGAAAACGGTCGATTTTTCGACTTTACCGGCCGTTTTCGATCCGATCCGTTCCTCTCGCCGCGACGGCTCTCGCCCGCCCGTAAAGCGCCGAGTTTCTACTTTCCGAAACGGTACCTCTTTCCTCCGAACGTACCGCGAACCTCCTAAAAAACCGCGAAAAACCGCGTCGACGTCACCCGACCCACTAACGTCACTGACCTTCCAAAAACAATCGATCACCGCTTAATATAGTCGACTAGCGCAGTTTCTGGCATGCTAACGCTATGCCAAATATTGTACGTTGATGTCTTTATTTAAAACCTCACGTAGCGCAGTTGCTGGTATGCTAATGCAATGCTAGCGATATACACTATCTCTAATCATTTTTTATCCTTTGGCATCTTTGATCTGGTATCTGGTCTATATCTGGTATCTGGTATCTGGTGTCTGGTATCTGGTATCTGGTATCTGGTATTTGGTATCTGTTATCTCTTTATCTGGTATCTGGTTCTGTGTCTGGTATCTGGTGTGGCTGGTGTCTGGTATCTGGTATCTGGTATCTCGTATCTGGTATCTGGTATCTGGTATCTGTGTTCTGGTATCTGGTATCTGGTGTCTGGTATCTGTATCTGGTGTCTGGTATCTGGTGTCTGGTATCTGGTGTCTGGTATCTGGTGTCTGGTATCTGGTATCTGGTGTCTGGTATCTGGTGTGGTATCTGGTATTTGGTATCTGTATCTCTTATCTGGTATCTGGTTTCTGGTGTCTGGTATCTGGTGTCTGGTATCTGGTGGCTGGTATCTGGTATCTCGTATCTGGTGTTTGGTATCTGGTACTGGTATCTGGTGTCTGGTGTCTGGTATCTGGTATCTGTCTCTGGTATCTGGTTCTGGGTCTGGTATCTGGTATCTGGTGTCTGGGTCTGGTATCTGGTATCTGTGTCTGGTATCTGGTGTCTGGTATCTGGTGTCTGGTGTCTGGTATCTGGTATCTGGTATCTGGTATCTGGTATCTGTATCTGGTGTCTGGTGTCTGGTATCTGGTGTCTGGTGGCTGGTATCTGGTATCTGGTATCTCGTATCTGGTGTTTGGTATCTGGTACCTGGTATCTGGTATCTGGTGTCTGGTATCTGGTATCTGGTATCTCGTATCTGGTATCTGGTTTCTGGTGTCTGGATAAGGTATCTGGTGTCTGGTGTCTGGTATCTGGTATCTGGTATTGGTGTCTGGTATCTGGTGTCTGGTGTCTGGTATCTGGTATCTGGTATCTGGTATCTGGTTTCTGGTGTCTGGTATCTGGTGTCTGGTATCTGGTGTCTGGTATCTGGTGTCTGGTATCTGGTGACTGGTATCTGGTATCTGGTATCTCGTATCTGGTGTTTGGTATCTGGTACCTGGTATCTGGTATCTGGTGTCTGGTGTCAGGTATCTGGTATCTGGTATCTGGTCTCGTCTGGTATCTGGTTTCTGGTGTCTGGTATCTGGTATCTGGTGTCTGGTATCTGGTGTCTGGTATCTGGTATCTCGTATCTGGTATCTGGTTTCTGGTGTCTGGTATCTGGTGTCTGGTATCTGGTATCTGGTATCTGGTATCTGGTATCTGGTGTCTGGTATCTGGTTTCTGGTGTCTGGTATCTGGTATCTGGTGTCTGGTATCTGGTGTCTGGTATCTGGTATCTCGTATCTGGTATCTGGTTTCTGGTGTCTGGTATCTGGTGTCTGGTATCTGGTATTTGGTATCTGGTGTCTGGTATCTGGTGTCTGGTATCTGGTATCTGGTATCTGGTATCTCGTATCTGGTATCTGGTTTCTGGTGTCTGGTATCTGGTATCTGGTGTCTGGTGTCTGGTATCTGGTATCTGGTGTCTGGTATCTGGTGTCTGGTATCTGGTGTCTGGTGTCTGGTATCTGGTATCTGGTATCTCGTATCTGGTATCTGGTTTCTGGTGTCTGGTATCTGGTGTCTGGTATCTGGTGTCTGGTATCTGGTGTCTGGTATCTGGTGACTGGTATCTGGTATCTGGTATCTCGTATCTGGTGTTTGGTATCTGGTACCTGGTATCTGGTATCTGGTGTCTGGTGTCAGGTATCTGGTATCTGGTATCTCGTATCTGGTATCTGGTTTCTGGTGTCTGGTATCTGGTATCTGGTGTCTGGTATCTGGTGTCTGGTATCTGGTATCTGGTTATCTGGTATCTGGTGTCTGGTATCTGGTGACTGGTATCTGGTATCTGGTATCTCGTATCTGGTGTTTGGTATCTGGTACCTGGTATCTGGTATCTGGTGTCTGGTGTCAGGTATCTGGTATCTGTATCTCGTATCTGGTATCTGGTTTCTGGTGTCTGGTATCTGGTGTCTGGTATCTGGTATCTGGTATCTGGTGTCTGGTATCTGGTATCTGGTGTCTGGTATCTGGTTTCTGGTGTCTGGTATCTGGTATCTGGTGTCTGGTGTCTGGTATCTGGTATTTGGTATCTGGTGTCTGGTATCTGGTGTCTGGTATCTGGTATCTGGTATCTCGTATCTGGTATCTGGTTTCTGGTGTCTGGTATCTGGTATCTGGTGGCTGGTGTCTGGTATCTGGTATCTGGTGTCTGGTATCTGGTGTCCTGGTATCTGGTGTCTGGTGTCTGGTATCTGGTATCTGGTATCTCGTATCTGGTATCTGGTTTCTGGTGTCTGGTATCTGGTGTCTGTATCTGGTGTCTGGTATCTGGTGTCTGGTATCTGGTGACTGGTATCTGGTATCTGGTATCTCGTATCTGGTGTTTGGTATCTGGTACCTGGTATCTGGTATCTGGTGTCTGGTGTCAGGTATCTGGTATCTGGTATCTCGTATCTGGTATCTGGTTTCTGGTGTCTGGTATCTGGTATCTGGTGTCTGGTATCTGGTGTCTGGTATCTGGTATCTCGTATCTGGTATCTGGTTTCTGGTGTCTGGTATCTGGTGTCTGGTATCTGGTATCTGGTATCTGGTATCTGGTGTCTGGTATCTGGTTTCTGGTGTCTGGTATCTGGTATCTGGTGTCTGGTGTCTGGTATCTGGTATTTGGTATCTGGTGTCTGGTATCTGGTGTCTGGTATCTGGTATCTGGTATCTGGTATCTCGTATCTGGTATCTGGTTTCTGGTATCTGATGTCTGGTATCTGGTGTCTGGTATCTGGTATCTGGTATCTGGTGTCTGGTATCTGGTATCTGGTGTCTGGTATCTGGTGTCCAGTATCTGGTTTCTAGTATCTGCTATCTGGTATCTGTTATCTTTTATAAGTTATCAGTTTTTCATTTTTCATTTTTCTATTTTAATTTTAATTTTTTATTTTTAATTTTTCATTTTCTATTTTAATTTTTAATTTTTAATTTTAATTTTTGATTTTTCGAATTTTCGAATTTTCGATTTTTCGATTTTTCGATTTTTCGATTTTCGATTTTCGATTTTTCGATTTTTCGATTTTTCGATTTTTCGATTTTTTCGATTTTCGATTTTTTCGATTTTTCGATTTTTCGATTTTTCGATTTTTCGATTTTTCGATTTTTCGATTTGATTTTTGATTTTTTGATTTTGATTTTTGATTTTTGATTTTTGATTTTTGATTTTTGATTTTTGATTTTTGATTTTTGATTTTTGATTTTTGATTTTTAATTTTCGATTTTCAATTTTTCATTTTTCATTCTTCAGATTTCAGTTTTTCATTTTTTAGTTTTCAGTTATCAGTATTTGTTATCTGTTACCTGTTTTCTTTTATCTGTTACTTTTTATCTGTTATCTGTCATCTTTTATCTGTTATCTGTTATAAGTTATCTGTTATATGTTACCACCTGTTACCTGTTACCACCTTTTACCTGTTATCTGTTGTCTGTTATCTTCCATATAGCATTGAAAATATCCTGTATACAATTGTATAACAGACTCAGATTTATGTGAGATGCCGGCAACGTCGCATGTGTTGTTGTTAATACCATACATGGCGTTATAAAATCTTCCATGTAGCAAATTGTATAGCAGACTTAGATTTATATGAGGATCGTCGCATAAAT